ACCGCAGAAGTGAATTGAGCCGGCACAAGTCGAAGAAGGCCTGGACTGAGTCAAGGTGACTTGGGAGCACCTGCAAAACCCTCAAACTGACTCAGAAGATCAATTAAGAAGAGGCAAAGCTGGCAGGGGCCTATCTGAACAACGGTCCTGCCTCCCATTGAGATGGCAACTCGGAAAATAAGTTGCTTTTAGAAAGTGCCCTGGGAGAGGATCAAGGAAGACTGTGGTTTCTTTACTCATGCCGATGCTGGCGTGGAGCTCTTGACAATTGAGTATCCATGGCAACGGGAAGAGAAAGCCCTGCCAAATCCGCTGTCCAGACGGAAGAAGTGAGGTGTTGGTGATGTTGGTAACTGTAAAGCGAAAACAAAACAACAACACAGTCAAGGTTACTGGTCTATTCTCTTTGTCTGAAAAAAAAAAAGGCACATTTCTGGTACACATCCTCACTGTGTTCCCCAAACGTGCTTAAATCTAGTTGTTGACCGAATTCATTGAATGGCTTTGCCCATTATATTCAATCGTAAACTAACCAAGAAGAAAGGGGCTGGTGATTGTCAGCTGCCGGAACGTCCACCGTGGGTAAACATCGGAGACTCCCTAGCCCTTTCCGCCCTACGCTAAATAAAAAATAATAAACGAACGATCTTAGATTAGGTCCACCAGACAGACTACAAAAACCTAACCAGGTTTAACCAGGCTTAGCCTGTATGAAAACAACAGCCAGGTGCAGGCAGTCCTCAATCCTCACTCACATTTGAGTGCAAAAGCCACGTTGCTAAGTGAGAAATTTGTTTAGTGAGTTTTGCCCCATTTTAGGACTTTTCTTGCCACGTTGGTTAAGCCAATCACTGCAGTTGTTAAGTTAGTCACATGGGGGTTAAGTGAATCTGGCTTCCCCATGGACTGTGCTCGTCAGAAGGTCATCAAAAGGGATCATGTGACCCCCGTATGACACTGTAACCCTCATAAATGTGAGTCAGTGGTCAAGCATCCGAATGTAAATCACGTGACCCAGGGGATGCTGCAGTGGTCGTAAGTGTGAAAAATGGCGATAAGTCACCTTTTTTCAGTGCTGTTATAATTTCGAACGGTCACTAAGCAAGCTGTTGACAGCCAAGGACTATCTGTACTCTACTTCAGGGGTCCCCAACCTCCGGTCCGTGGACTGGCACCAGGCCGTGGCATGCCAGCAACTGGTCCGCACAAACAAGCAAAGCCCCATCTGTGGGATGCAGGCAGCACACAAAAGCAGGCACCCTCCGGTCCGCAGAAAATTTTTCTCCACGGAACCGGTCCCTGGTGCCCAAAAGGTTGGGGATCTCTGCTCTACCTGACCTGGTTAAACAAGGTCTGTGACCATGACTATAGCCAAGCTTGGAACTGCACGGACTACATCCTGTACATTCTGCATTTTAAAACTAGCCACTAACCAACTGCAGACCTTTCAAATACAGGTCTAACGATCTGCAACAGCCTCATTTGCTACGATTAATGAAAAGTGGTTCCTCTAGTCTCAAAACATGGTTGGATAGTGCTGCAAAGCTCTTACTAAGTGGCAAACCTGGTGATCTACTCCAAGTGAAAGCCCAAAATTGTACTGTCCCTTTGTTTAATCCGAAGGTGTGTGACTGCTTTGAAGCTAAGGACCACCTTTAATTCTTGAACGATAGGCAGTGGTTGCTCCCCAAACACTAGGGGGGGAGGGCAAATTGATTTAAATTTAAATTAAACTAAGCCAAACGCAGCTGATATGTTTATTTCCCAGGTATCCAGTAGTTTTCCTCTTTTATCACATAAAAAAAACCCAACAACATCCTAGTGACAACGATTGGAGAAGTTCCAAGAGCTGGAGCTATATATAATTTTGATCTGAGTGTATCCAGCCTCAGGATTTCAGATCGTGCACCTTTGAATTAATTAACTCTCAAGATCTCCGGGCAAGAGCAATTAGATCACCAAATAATTGATTTCTTGGTTCTGATGTGTAACTTAATGGGGCTCCCCACCCCAACCCTCTGCCAAATTTAAGAGAGGGATTTTGCTGATAATTACGCTTGGCAAATAGGAAGCTCCTGAAGGATGCGGTAGATGGCAAAACATATACGCTTCCTGCAATCCAAGTTAATTGGAAAAAAACATTTAAATGAGGAAAGTCTTGAGAACAGCTTCGGAGGTTGATGAGATCATGGACGAGGGGCTTATCTGTACCTTGGACACAATGGTTTCTTTTTCCAGAGAGAAATGGCAAACATCTGCCTACCTTCTGTCCTTGTTCCGAATTATCCAAAGTAGGGAGGTGTTTTGCAATACGTATCTGGGAGACGAAGGCAGAGGCTTCGTTTGTTTAATAGTGAAGAATAACACAGCCCGGCTCTGAGGTTCACCTTACAAGTTTATATATATGCTTATATGCTTTACCTCCAGTTCCTTATATATATATATACATATAAGGTATATATATATACATACATACATACATACATACATATATATAGGGTTAGAAATGTGGGTAAAAATTCGACTCCTGGGTATATTCATATTGTAAAGCAAATAAATAACGATCACCAAGAGGATAAATAGAAAAATATTTAATAAACCTAGCTTTCGTCGGGCACTCCCGACATCGTCAGGGTTAAAAGCGGTCATTGGGAGAAAGCTTATATACGATCGCTAACTGCCTGCATCCGGCTTCTAGATCGCGTCACCGGTCCCAGCTGATCATGCTGTGTTCTAAGTGTATCTCTTGCGTCAGCGAGTGGTTCTTTTCTATCCCCTCTCCGTACTCCACTATGCACAACTCCATCGTTAACTCTGGGGCTGAGTAGGGTCCTTTCACCTCCCTTTCAGGTGGTAGTTATTTCCATCCTCCCACATCGTTAACAGAGTTAACGATGGAGTTGTGTGTAGTGGAGTGCGGAGAGGGGATAGGAAAGAACCACACGCTGACGCAAGAGATACACTTAGAACACAGCACGATCAGCTGGGACCGATGACGCGATCTAGATGCCGGATGCAGACAGTTAGCGATTGTATATAAGCTTTCTCCCAATGACTGCTGGATAGTCCTCGACTTAACATTTCATTTACTACTACTACTACTACTACTACTACTACTACTACTACTACTAATAATAATAATAATAATAATGTTGAAAGACCTTGGAGGTCTTCTAGTCCAACCCACCTGCTTGGGCAGGAAACACTACACCATTTCAGACAAATGGCTGTCCAGTCTCTTCTTAAAGACTTCTAGTGTTGGAGCCTTCACTGCTTCTGGAGGCAGGTTGTTCCACTGGTTAATTGTTCTGTCAGGAAGTTTCTCCTTTGTTCTAGGTTGCTTCTCTCCTTGATTAGTTTCCACCCGTTGCTTCTTGTCCTGCCTTCAGGTGCTTTGGGAAATAGCTTGACTCCCTCTTCTTTGGGGCAGCCCCTGAGATACTGGAACACTGCTATCGTGTCCCCCCTCGTCCTTCTCTTCGTTAAACTAGACATTCCCAATTCCAGCAACCGTTCCTTATATGTTTGAGCCTCCAGTCCCCTGATCGTCTTTGTTGCTCTTCTCTGCACTCTTTCTAGAGTCTCAGCTTCTTTTTTGTATAGTGACCAAAACTGGGCGCCGTATTCCAAGTGTGGCATTACCAAGGCCTTGTAAAGTGGTGTCAACACTTCACGTGATCTTGATTCTATCCCTCTGACCGTTCAAAGTTACATCGGCACTGACAAAAATCAACTTACGACCTTTTTTCACACTTACGACCATAGCAGCATCCCCATGGTAACACGATCAAAATTCAGATGCTTGGCAACTGGCATGTACTTCTGACGGTCGCAGGGTCCCGGGGTCAGGTGATCCCCTTCTTTGACTTCCTGACAAGCAAAGTCAATGGGGGAAAGCCAGATTCATTTAACGGCCATGTGACTAAATGAACAAGTGTAAGGTCGTAAAATGGGACAAAACTCACTTAACCAATGTCTTGCTTAGCAACATCGATTTGGGGCTTCCGGCATTTGTTTTCTATTTGTTTTATTTTAATCCCACCATTATTATTTCTTAGGAATAACTCGTAGCAGTGAAGCTGCCTAATGCAGCTTCCTCCTCTTATTTTCCCCACAACAGCAACCCTGTGAGTTGTGTTGAGCTGAGTGGAAGTTCCCATTCTACAAAGAGTGACAAAAATAGCCCTTCCTGACAATTGCACCGGAAAGTTGGTGACTTTGGGGCAGTGGGAAGGGAAAACGGCCATCAAAGGCACAAGTACAGATGGGACGAGATCCGGCTTAAGAACAGCAACTGTGAGAGGGACCTGCGAGTCCTAGTGGATGATCGCTTGACTATGACACAGCTGTGTGCAGCAGCAGCCAAAAAAGCCAACACAATCCTGGGTTGTATAAACAGAGGCATAGAATCAAGATCACGTGAAGTATCAGTACCGCTCTACAAAGCCCTAGTAAGACCACACCTGGAATACTCCAGCCAATGTTGGTCACCATATCACAAAAAAGAGGTTGACAGTTTGGAAAAAAAATCAGAGAAGAGCAACTAAGAGGATTAAAAGTCTGGAGACTAAAATGTATGAAGAACGGCTGCGGGACTTGGGTTTGGTTAGTCTAAAGAAAAGAAGAAATAGGGGAGACATGAAAGCAGTATTTCAGTATTTGAGGGGCTGCAACAAAGAAGAGGGGGTCACGTCATTCTCCAAAGCACCAGAGGGCAGGACAAGAAACAATGGTTGGAAACTGACCAAAGAGAGAAGCAACCTGGAATTAAGGAGACAGTTCCTTACAGTGAGGACAATTAACCAGTGGAACAGCTTGCCTCCAGAAATTGTGGGCGCTCCATCACTGGAGATTTTTGTAAGAAGAGGCTAGCTAGAGAGTCACTTGTCTGAGATGGTATAGGTTCTCCTGCTCGTGCAGGAGGCTGGACTAGAAGACCTCCAAGGTCCCTTCCAGATTCTGTTCTATTATATTCTATATTATGTTTTCTCTTTATCCAGAGACCTGCCACTACAGAGCCTGCAACGAACTCGGAGCTAAGCCATGAACATTTGAGCATACAAAACACCGATGTTTTCCAGTTTGCACTTCACAAGTAAGGTTGATTCCTTTAAGCTTCCAGGTCTCTGACTTAAGCCAAGCCCTGTAATAGGGAGCAGGCTCAGTTGTTAAGTTTTATTGTATTTTTCCATTCTCCTGTTTTTCAACCACAGTTTAATCGGCAAACGCTAACAGGTGGCCCTATGTGTAATCCTCCGTGCAATGCTTGACTGATTGTGTTTGCAGGACACGGTTAACTACGGTTTACTGAACTAATTCAATTGCTCGGGTCTGTAGAACACCCTGAGTCACAAACTAGCCGGATCCCATTTTAGACTCGCACGTTGTGAGAATATGGCTACGAGGCTAGTTAGTTAGTTCAGGGAAATGACACTGCTGTTCAGTGTGCCAGAAGAAAGAATCAACAAGCCCTTAGACTGAAGAAACAGAATCTGGAAGTTACATTTGCAAGCTGGTGAAGAACGTACTGCTCATCTTTAAGACTTAGCCCCAATTTCTACTTTTTGTTTTCATTTTTGGGGTAGGCACCGACACACTATTCTGCTAATTATCAATCGCTGGTGGAAAAAAGAAACTGGGAAACATCCTTTCATGTTCCTTATGTAGAATATAGTGGAGGTATCTGAGTTGGATGGCGTGTGGGAAAGGGGGCAGCCTTTGATCTCACCTAATAGCTGAGCTAACCAGAGCTTAACCAATTCACACGCCAGTCTATCTTAGCCTTTCTTTGCTCAAATGTGAAAGTAAGTTGTTGGAACTCTCCTTTGCCCTTCATTAGCCACATGTCCAGCGTTTATTCTGCTTTGAATGGTGTGTGTGTGTCTCTCTCTGTGTTGTTTAGACTGATGGGAGTTTGTTTGCAAATCCTTCTAAAGGTTATGCTGAACTGCAGGATTGAGCAAAGAAACAAACATGTCGAGATGTTCCCTTTCCGTGACCTAATGGGCAACTGGCAAAATAAAAAGCTACTGCTTCCAGGCTAGGTGAATTTCAAGTGCAAAACCAACATAGATCCAGAAAAACACCGAGACCAGATTGTGCCAGTGGGATGGGGGCGGGGGGGGGGGGAAAGAGAAGAGGAATCGTGCTCCTTGTAGTAGCAAGTCAGTTTTTCTAGACTAATTTTACAGCTATATAGATTTTATTCGAATGGTGTGGATTTGAAACAGGAGACCTAGGAGATGGGCCTTTAGAAATGGGAAATATAAATAAGTAATTAAGCAAGCAAGCTAAACAAACAAACAAATAAAATATACTATCTATAGGTCAAGCACCTCTTAAAACTTGGAGAGAAGCAACCTGGAATTAAAGGAAAACTTCCTGACAGTGAGGACAATTAACCAGTGGAACAGCTTACCCCCAGAAATAATGGGTGCTCCATCACTGGAGATTTTAAAGAAGAGACTAGACAATCACCTGTCTGAGGTGACAATCACCTGCATGAGCAGGGGGCTGGACTAGAAGACCTTCAAGGTCCCTTCCAGCTCTATCGTATTCTAATCCAGCAATGCTCTTACAATCTATGATGCTTAGCTGTTTAATGATCCATAGTTCAGCTCTCACCATAGATGTGTTAAAGGATGAAAGAAGTACACACACCAATGTCTAAATCAATTCCCCCTAATTCTGAATATGATATGAATACATAGAAAAACCGCAGTATAGGCTGGGCAGGGTGAATTCCTCATACAGCTAGGGCTACTTCCATGGGTCTTTCCAAGGACACCAAGAACTCAGAATAGTTGCTTTAACCTACATGGACATTATTGGCATCAGAAGTGAAATTAACATCACCTACCATAAGGCATCAGCTCCTAAACTCCAGTCATATGCTTTATTACAGGGGTCTTCAAACTTGGCCCTTTTATGACTTGTGGACTTTAACTCCCAGAATTCCTCAGCCAGGCACGCGTGCCTGGCTGAGGAATTCTGGGAGTTGAAGTCCACAAGTCATAAAAGGGCCAAGTTTGAAGACCCCTGCTTTATCACATCAAATGCTTAGGAGGAATTTCCTAACGAGTACAGTTGATCAGTGGAACAATTTGATTCCGAGTTGTGGGTGCCCCCATTGCTGGAAGTTTTCAAGAAAACAATGGGCAGTTCTCTGATAGGACTCCTACCTTGCAGGGGGTTGGAATATAAGACCTCCAAGGTCCCTTCCAGCCTTATCATTTTATGATTGTATGAGTGAGATACACCAACGATCTTGAAAGCAGAGAACTGTTTATCTTCTAGGTTCCATGTTTCTTTCCATAACGTTGTCCACCCTTGGCGACGGCCGTTGTTTCACAAAATAAAGGGAGAAGCTGCCATTGCTTTTGATAGCGGTGCTTAGCAAAATGCAACTAAAAATTTGCAGCGGGAAGGGTGGGGGAAAAAAAAAGCCTACATCCCATCAAGATGATTAATCTCACACGCTTTTTAAAAAACACCCTGTAAATTAAAAACTGAAGGGCTATGATACCTGCGACAATTTAACTCCACTGCAAAATTATTCCCCGTTTCCCTTATTGTGAGAGGTAAATGGAACTCTAACCAGCCTTCCCACACACTGTGCATTTCAAATTGTTAGCGGAATAATCACTGTAATTGTGTGTGTACGTGCAAGGGTGCGTTCCCGCCTCTAGCTGGCCGTCTCCCACTGTACAGGCTTTCGGAAGGCGCCTTAGTAGTCCACGGTCCCTGGCGCGCCATCCTAGGCCTGATTTGCTCCCTTCGCTTAGAGAGGGAAACATTTATCCAAATCTCGTTTGGGAAAACGGTTTGAATATCTAAAAGCATTGGAAGCAAAAGCTGGGGGGTTTTTTTGGGGGGGGGGGCGAAGGGAGAAAGAAACAAGAATCCCGCTTTATTACATAACCGAGCCAGGAAGGAGTTAAAAAATAAAAAAAGAGGAAAGCTGTCTGGTTGCTATGGTGCCCTTTTCTTTTAAAGAAGAGCAGAGTTGATTACAACATTAGAAACCAGAGGAGCCCCCAGCCCCTTCCGAAAGGGGAATAATGGAATCAAAGGGAGGGAGAGAGGAAGGCAGACATGGCACACTCTTTTAGTTCTGACAACTGGACCAAAAGGAACAACGTACGGTACGGTCTGTTAGTGCTCCTGGCTAAGGACAAAGCATGCTTGCTAACTTCAAGCGTCTCGTTCTTGGTTCTTTCCGGGATGGCTGGCCTAATTTGCCAACCTTCTCAGCAGTTGACGCTTGACCCTGCCAGCCTGGGAAGTGGTAACATTTTGGGGATGCAGGCTGTTTATGATTGACTTGCCGTCCCAGGTTGCGGCTCCTTTGGAGCAGAAATTTGGGGATGTTCCAATGCTGCTCGTTGGGTTTGCAGGAGAAAAGCCAACAGCTAGTTACTCTTCTGAAGCGGCAGAGTTACTATCTTGGATCAGCTTCCCAAGGGAAACACAGCCCGTGCACCTCACCTGGCTACGGCTTGTTTAAATTGTGGCTTATTGCAGGGCTTTTCAACCTTTTCACCCATTTTACCACTTTTAGGATATGGCAATATCCGAGGACCACCAGTCGCCTAGCAAGGTGTCAAAAACTTGATGACCAAAAAAAAGAAAAAAAGAAAAAAGTGATAAAGTACAGGTAGTCCTCAACTTACAACAGTTCGCTTAGTGACTCTTAGAAGTTACAATGGCACTGAAAAAAGTGCCCCCCAAGCCACAGCCGAGCAAGACACCTGCCTGCCCACCCGGCCGTGCTCTTCCTCCTGTCTGAGGTTTTCACTGTTGTGAGCATTTCTGTTGAGGATTGGCAGCGGGGGTGGGGTGGGGGGTGTTTGGCTTTTATTCCCCCATCTGCTGGGTGATTGCAGCAGATTTTGGTCACTTCACATGACCCTGGGACACTGTGACCGTCATAAATATGAATCAGTTGCCAAGCATCTGAATGTAAATCACAAGACCCTGGAGAGGCTGCAACATTCCAGCTGATCGGCGCTTCTTCTGGGCTCAGCAGAAGTGTCAGGATCAGTGCTGCTTTCCAGCTGATTGGTGCTTCTTCAGGGCTCAGCAGAAGCACCAGGATCAGCGCCAAGCTCCAGGTGCAGGCTTGTGTGGTGCTGCCATTGGTTCAGCTCATTCTCCTCTGCTACCACTTTTCTAGGATGGTCGCATACCACCTGCCAGGTGCCAACGTACCACAGGTGGTACCTGTACCACTGGTTGAAAAGCCCTGGCTTATTGGATGAGCTACAATCCATTGGGTTCAGACTCTCTGCATTAAGCAAAAGCAGAACAAGCTTCCTTGGGGTCTACAAGCCAGTTTATGCCTGTGTTGTGTGAGATGAACTATCATTACTTTTCTAAAATGGCAGCAGAGCGAGAGAGATTCTTGGCAATCATGAGGCTGACTCTTGCCAGCTTTCCGTTGAGGCACTCGGGATCCCAGCTGTATGTTGTGTGAGCTGAACAAGATAAAAGAGCTCTGCTTTCTTTCAAGGCCCCACATCACTGCTTCCCCAGAATAATTCCTGATGTGTTGTGTCGAGTCATCAGCCATCTGTAGTTTTGCCACTGAGGGTGAAAACCGTCTCTGGAACAAACTACAGAGACATAAAAAAAAAAATAGACTTCTTTTGATTGTAAGAAACTGCCGGAATAAATTGGCTAGAACAGGGGTCTTCAAACTTGGCCCTTTTTATGACTTGTGGACGTCAACTCCCAGAATTCCTCAGCCAGCCTGCCAGTCATAAAAGGGCCAAGTCTGAAGACCCCCGGGCTAGAACAATGCTCACCAACCTTTTCCCTTAATTACCCAAAACCACTAACCAGAAAATCTTACTGAAATTCAAGAACCAGTTAAGTCTCTTCCTTCAGGGCTGTTGTAATTTCAAATCGTCGCTGAACAAACTTGAGAATTGTCTTTATTATCACTGAATGATTTCAATGTAATATCAACAAACGGCTGTCGGTAGTTCCATAAATTTTCAGCTTAAAAAAAGGTTGCAGGAGATTTGGGAGTATATTTTAGTACAGCTGACAATCTTTAAGTGAATTTAAACGACCCTGCTTTGATTGGGTAATGGGTTTCATTTGTCAAAGAACAAAAATATATACTTTTGCCCAATTTTGGATACTTTACTGAGATTTGGGAAGCGCTGAGTTATAAGGTCCGGAATAAAAGATATTCATTAATGTTGGCTTGCTGACAACCGTTTTTCGTTCTTCCTACTGAACTGCTCTGGAGTCCCTGCTTTTTCCTGACTGACTAGTGGAGAAATTCTAGTAGAGATGAAATCTCTGTACTTGCTAATGAGCAATAAATATTCCCACCCGGGGAAGTAGATCTGTTAACTCTTCATATAAGAGACATGGAGTTGGATTCCCAAATGGCAGAGTGGGGAATTTTGTAGGTGGTGGAAAGGAGTTTCCAACTGACCCTTTGCAACATCACCCTGCCAACAAAAGTGTGTATAGTCAAGGCCATGCTTTTCCCAGTTGCAAGGTATGGCTGTGAAAGTTGGACCATAAGAAAGGTTGAGGGCCAGAGAATGGAGGCCTTTGAACTATGGTGCTAGAGAAGACTCCTGTGAGTCCCCTGGACTGCAAGGCGATCCAACTGGTCAGCCCAAGAAGAGATCAACCCTGACTGCTCTTTAGAAGGCCAGATCCTGAAGTTGAAACTCAAATACTTTGGCCACCTAATGAGAAGGAAGGACTCACTGGAGAAGAGCCTGATGCTGGGAAAGATGGAGGGCAAGAGAAGAAGGGGACGACAGAGAAGGAGGTGGCTGGATGGAGTCACCGAAGCAGTAGGCCTGAGCTTAAATGGACTCCAGAAGATGGTAGAAGACAGGAAGGCCTGGAGGAACGTTGTCCATGGGGTCGCGATGGGTCGGACACGACTTCGCAACTAACAACAACAAACTGGAAAAAGACCTGCTCATCGCAACCAGCCTGGATCTGGTTAAAAAAGGATGCTAAAAAAACAATTCTGTCTATCACAAAAAAAGCAGAAAGCAGCCCCAAGCAAAAAAAATGTAATTCAACGGGCCCCCGTGAGGTGGAGGCAACTTTTTTTTTTTTAACATTCACACTTTATCAACATAGTCTCTGGCTTGCCTTCCTGTGGGCAAAGTCCCTAGCCTGTCTTTAGTTTCTCTTCTGAAAGTTGCAGAAAGATGAACAGCTGCCTGAACATGGCCCCCCAAGCTTTTGGAGAAGCAGTCAGAATCTCTTCTTTTTCTCTGTCTCTCCTGCTTCCATTCCTCAGAGCCTTCGCGCTTTCCGAGGACGGCAGCCGTTGTGCGGTACCGGAGTGTTGTCTGTGATGGAGATCACTTCCAGCCCCCCTAAGGCTAAGCCCTGGATGGCGGCCTGCAAGGGAAAGAGAGATATCAACCCAGGGCTCATGGAATGCTAAGCCACGGTTTGTTGAAGCACAGCTGGTAGGATAAACCACTGCTGCTTAGCTTTGGATAAGCTGCAAAGCTCTAAGCCTGACTTTGCTACATGTAATTAGCCAGCTATACGAGAGCTTCGTGAAATGTGGGAAGCCAGCGCAAGACAGAGAGCTTTTGAGAACTTGCTGTTTTTGCCAAGAATTTAGGGGGCTTCAGAGAGTTTCAGCATCTACCCTGCTTGTTGATGGCTCGGATTCAGCATCTTACCTTTCGTGTGCAACAGAATTGTATTTACTTTCTCTCTCTCCCTTTTTAAAAAAATTACAAAACAATTTAGAAATCAAAGGAGGCTGCCTTATATTTAGGGAACAATTGGTTAATCTTGTGGAGCGTTACCTACTGGCGCTTCAGATTCCAAAAGTGGAAGGCGGAGGTGTACATGCTACATACACCCCTCTGCAGATCCTGAAACCAAATTTGTCTTACATGAAAGAAAGCTTCTCCCAGGATTATGCGGCCACTGCAGAGAGTGGCCACGTAAACTGGGGTGGGGTGTTGGGGGGGGGGGGAGAGATGTAGCTGCTTTAAGAAGTTGCAGACAAGGGCTCCTTTAGCAGCCCTCCAGTTAGTTTTTCTGCTTCATAGCCAAGGAGCTGCCAAGCCTGATGATCTCCGGCAGCCATTTCCAAACTGCTGGTCCTCGGGATGAGCTGGATTTTGATTTCCACCGCCCCTGCCAGCATGGGGAACGCCAAGTTGTTGAGAAAGTTTTGCCCTTCCGGACAAACACAGCTGGAGGACAGCAGATGGGGAAGGGCGTTTGAAATTGAGAACAGGTTTCCAGGGCTTGTAATTTGTGTCTTCTTGGCTTGCCTGCATGGCATTGCTGATCCCACTTAAGGGACACCCCTCTACCACGGTGGCCCTTGATAAAGGCAGGAGTCAGCCAGTAAAGGCTCCCTTCCCTCCAGCAGAAAGAAGAGAAAGAAACAGGAGGTGCTTACCAACCGCCCAGGTCCCAGGCCTTTCACAACAACTCGTACGTGGTGCACGCCCTTCTTAGCTGCTTTCTGGACAGAGAGAGAGAGAGAAAGAAACGCGTTAGGCGATGAATCAGAGTATAATGGCTGCTACTCATGACATGCCACCTAGATCCTATTGCCCCTTTCATCTGAATAGGAGCTTCTGCTCGTTGGGACAAAGACGGCGATTTGAACAAAATACGTTATTGATTTTGATGGTGCTATCTTTGTTGCGAGCTGCCCAGAGTGGCTGAGAGCCGGGTGGCAATGAGAGTTTAATACGTTATTATTATCTGTTCACAGCAATGTGAAATCACAGCTGCCAGTCCTTTTGCTGGTATTGGCCTTCTTCCCAAGAACCTGCGATATGTTGGTGTGGTAAAGGAGTGGATCCAAGCCGTGCGGCCTTTTGCAATTGATAGATGGAAATTCTGTCAACGCCCAGATTTTCTAACTTGCTGCCCAAGACTTTTTGGTCTGGCATCCAGCGTACCGATAACCACGGAGATCACCAGAGCCGGTTTATGCCATAATCCTTCAATTTTGGTTTTTAGATCTTGATACTCTGTGATCTGTTTATCACCATCAAGAGCCGTGGTGGTGCAGAGGTTAGAATGCAGAATTGCAGGCTAATTCTGCCAACTGCCAGCAGTTCAATCCTGACCAGCTCAAGGTTGACTCAGCCTTCCATCCTTCCAAAGTGGATAAAATGAGGACTCAGATTGTTGAGGGCAACAGGCTGACTCTGTAAACCGCTTAGAGGGGGCTGTAAAGCCCTGTGAAGCGGTATATAAGTCTTAAGTGCTATTGCTACTGACTCAGCCTTCCATTCTTCCGAGGTCGGTAAAATGAGGACCGAGATTGTTGGGGGCAAGATGCTGACTCTGTAAACCGCTTAGAGAGGGCTGTAAAGCACTGTAAAGCGGTATATAAGTTTAAGTGCTATTGCTATCATCCCCATCATCATCCTAGCTGCTTATTTTTCCCAGTAAAACCACTTGTGGAAAAGGCACATGGGGAAAAGGTAGCAATGATGGAAGGTGCTTTGCAGAAATCTAGGATCTCTGTCCGTATAGATAGGAAGGCTGGAATCTTTTTCTAGTTTGTGGCTGAGCAAAAAATAACTCACCAGCCTTGTTTAACTAGCCCCTCTCACAAATGGATTGGCTATTCACTTCCAGACTTCCAGCCAAAGCACCCACTGGGTAATCTTGGCTGAAATGCTGGGCACTGAAGTCCTGCACGTCCAGAGGTTTGGTTTGCTCTTTGTCATCGTTTTCCAGCCCTGAAAACGCACGCAAGTTAAGAGTACTTACAAAAGTCATTTACATTCAACCCACCAATGGAAGAAACGGCTGACTTGCACTACGCAAGAATCTTGTTACATTTAGAAAGGGAAAATTAAAATTCTCAGCTGGAAACCTTCCATTTCTGCTATGCCTTAGCTCTTTTAAATGTTTCCTATATCCAAAGTGATTAATGTGAATTTCCGGAGGCCTGACAGTGGTTATAGTAAGTCTGCTGGGCTAAGACTGCCATCTAGCGGCTATTTAAAGACACTCCGCCTGGGTCCAAGGAGTCCTTGATTTACTATATTTTCTTTCCCTGACACCTTTTAAAATACAAGATTGTGTTTTATAAATACTGTTGTTTTGCATCAATCTGTCTGCACAGGTAGTTCTCAGCTAATGAGTGCTTCATCCAGTGATTTGTTCAAAGTTAACAGCAGTGCTGAAAAAAACAACTTTATAACCAACGTCAGCATTTATGTCCTTGGCAAGGTCTCTTAGTCACATCAGGATTGCCCTTACAGCTAGTGTGCATCCTCCTGTGCGTGACCTGTTTCCTCCCCCCTCCCCTGCAGAGGAGAGAGAAAGGGGAGAGAAAGGGATCGCAAGAGAGTAAACAGACACACAACAGAGAATTCACTGGGCTGTTTGTGTCCAGGGCTTGTGGCTGTTGGTGCCGTTGCATTCCAAAGGAGAGGGGAGCGGTTAGGAGGCAGGTGTGAAACTGACTAGTTTGATCAATTCTGAGTAGGAGAGCAGTTGCTTAAAGATGGAATTCCCAGTCCCAATTATGGTCCTTAAACAAAGACTAACTTCGTATAAATACCCTGCTCATACCCCTGGAATCCCTTTGGAGAGAGGTCTCCTTTAGGGAGCATATGTGAACCTAGCTATTGTGGATTAGCAGTGTGGATGAACCAGACTAGAATATTTGTCTTCCCCTCCAAAAGTACAGTTTTAACCCTTTCTTCACCCACTCTCTCTTTTTGAGAAAGGATCAGAAAGTGACTAATAGTTAGTCCCTAAGAAGGAGCAATGTGGTTCGTCTGGAGCAAGAGAATGCTGCTCATTGGTTCCTTTGCAAATTTTATTCCCCACTGCTTGGTACAGGTTATAAGAGGGAACAAATTTAGGATTAATAAGATTGTGTCCTTTTACTGCACCAAGCCAAAAACTATACAAATCTTTCAGATTCTAGAGCAGTGGTTCTCAACCTTTTTAATGCCGCGACCCCCCCAACCGGTCGTAAGTCGAGGACTACTCAACTGGTCATAAGTCAAGGACTACTCAACTGGTGCAGCACCGTTTGCAGAATGGGACTTTTGGCGGGCTCAGCAGGGCAGAGACAGCCTGGACAATTCCTATTGGCTTTTGAAAGCCAATAGAATTAGACTCTATTCAAGAGAGTCTATTCTATTGGCTTTCAAAAGCCAATAGAATAAAAGGGAGTAGCACAACTAAGGAAAAGGGAGAAAAAAATGGCGGACTGCTTTGTTTGGCGACCCCCGTGAAATGGTCGTTCGACCCCAAACGGGGTCCCGACCCACAGGTTGAGAACCACTGTTCTAGAGTTAATATATAAAAGCAAGCATTCCCTGATCTTGGTCTCTGTTCATTTGTGATCGTTCGTTCGTGATCGTACCCTGATCATGACCTTATCTATGCATAGGCAATTGGATTCTAGAATCCCACAAAAAGGATTCAAAGGGGTGGTGCCTCAAATAGCAAGGAAATATTAGGGATGAAAATAATAAAGATTCCTTGGAGGTAAAATAAGAGCCGCGGATTTAAGAAGCCTGATTCCAGCCCGTTCTGGTCAGCCTGATAAGTCTTTGCCCATTTCAACTTGGGGAAAAGATTAGTTCCAAGATCGGAAAGAACAGGATTATTGTCTTACGTTTCCCGCTGCAATTCCAGTTGTCTGTGCTGCAAGAGCTGTGGATTTCTTTGCGTTCTTGAACCCCATGTAGCCACAGGTTAGTAGGACGAGAGGGACTTTCTCAGCTGTGAAAACCTGGATGTGAGTGCTAAAGGAATCGTGGGATGACAGGAACAATGTTAGAAATCCATACGCTGTGCTATTTTTCAATTGCCCTGTACATTGTCTGAAAACCAACTCCTAACGTTTTCTTTTCAATTTTTTTTTTGTATCCCAATTAACTCAGCTCTTGCATTCTCCCATGGGGAGACGGCAAAGGCGTGAATTGGGATACCCCAAAAAAAAAAAAAAATGAAAAGAATTACTGCCAGTTTGAGACACACTGCTTGCCCCCAAATGGACTCAAAAATAGGATAATTCTTCCCAACTTGGTGCCCTCCGGATGTGCTCAGACTGCGGTTCTCAGCAGATCCAGTCAGTCTGTTTGCTGAGCATTCAGTGAGTTCCAGTTCCAAGGTCTTTGGTAGGCACCACCAGGTTGGACCAGGCTGCTTTAGACATGTAGCAATTTGGAAGAAGGCAATTCATCCTGAAAGGGGTGTGGGGAGGTGAACTTGTGGCCACTGAAACTCTTCTGTCACCTTCCAAAGTTTCATCATCATAATCATATTATTATTATTAACAATAATAATAATTGGAAGGGATCTTGGAGGTCGTCTAGTCCAACCCCCCACTCAGGCAGGAAACCCTATGCCATTTCAGACAAATGGTTGTCCAGTCTCTGCTTAAAAACTTCCAGTGTTGGAGCATTCACTGCTTCTGGAGGCAGGTTGTTCCACTGGTTAATTGTTCTAACTGTCAGGAAGTTTCTCCTTCGTTCTAGGTTGCTTTTCTCCTTGATTAGTTTCCATCCGTTGCTTCTTATCTTCTTTGGGGCAGCCCCTGAGATATTGGAACACTGCTATCATGTCCCCCCTCATCCTTCTCTTCATTAAACCAGACATTAAACATTCCCAATTTCAGCAACCGTTCCTTATATGTTTTAGCCTCCAGTCCCCTAATCATCTTTGTTGCTCTTCTGTGTCCTCTTTCTAGTTGTACTTTATTGCTTATTATTTAGTTGTACTTTATTGCAAAGCTAATTAATACATCCTAATACATCTTGCAAGACCTGTTGCCCTTGAATCACCCACCCACAAAACTTCTAGCATCAGATAATTAAAAGAGCCATGGTGGCCCAGTGGCTAGAGTGCTGTATTACAGGCTAACTCTGCCCGCTGCCAGTTCGATCCTGGCTGGCTCAAAGTTGACTCAACCTTCCATCCTTCTGAGGTTGGTAAAATGAGGACCCAGATTGTTAAGAGCAATATGCTGACCTTGTAAACTGATCAAAGAATGCTAAAGGGCTCTATTGGGCGTTATATAAATCTAAGTGCTATTACTAACGGTTCTGCATGAAGAATCTCCAGTCACTTACTTATTGTAAGTAGCTTTGATATGAACTATTGGAATTTCTTCAAACTTCTTTCCATCCCAATGCATGGAACTTTCTGCTCCCGGCGCTGGAGGCAGATAGCTGAAAACAACGAGAGAGAACATAGCCACATCAGGCACTTCCACAACTCAGGCAGCCCACCAATATTCAAGAGATCTAAGGATTATTTTATCAGATTATCAATGGGTATCTTTGGTCAAGGATGCTCACACAATAGGGTTGTACCAATATTCAATTTCCCCCTCTTAGCATCTGCGCTCCAACATACTAAGCCAGTGACGGTGGACCTTTTAGAGACCGAGTGTCCAAACTGCAACCCAAAACCGACTTATGCATCGTCGGGTGCCGGGTGGGTGTGGCCCATTGGCTGGGCGTGGTCCAGGAGGTATCGGCAGACTGGGTGGGACTAAAAAGTTCAATCAATCAATTCCAACTTTGCAAGATCTTTTTTTTCCCATGAGAAAATGAAATTGATTGATTGATTGAACCTTTTTTTTTTTTGCACACGGTGGCGGAGGCCTAAAACTAAAAGGTTTTATAAAACCCAGCTGAAGGCCTAGGACTGGAGCGACAGTGCGCGTGCCCAGAGAGGGCTCTGAGTGCTGCTTCTGGCACCCGTGCCATAGGTTCGCCACCACTGGACTAAGCCATAAACCACTGTTCATAAACTCAAAGGCAGTTAGTTTCACACAATACGGTAAGCCAAAAATCAAATAAATAGCATCATGGTGTAATGCAATATATACTCATCTAAAACCAAATAAAAGTAATCTCTCATTCTGGCACAAAGTGTTCAGGAGGAAGAGAGTGGTTTGTTTTTTTCTTAAATGTTCAAATTCCTTCTCTTGAAATTTGATTGACCACCTTTGGATGCAGCTCTCATCCAAACTCAAATCATTAAAAATATGAATCAATAAAGCCCTTGAAGCTTTTAGAAACATGGTTAAAAAAAACCCTGGCTGTTCCATTAAACTAATGAGTTGGATTGTTTTGACTGCCTCTTGAGTCACGAGATTGAGCTTTTCATGTTTTCATTTGTGATTTTTGCGTCCATTGGAACATGTTTCAGTAGTTGCTTTTAAATATCTTGTAGAGTTTTAGTCCCAATTAAAAGTCGGGAGTTGTATATTGCTCAGTTCATTACAGTAGCCTAAAAGCTCCTGAAAATAAAGGAACAGGTGATCCAGCAGGGGCAAAAATTATAATTCTACCATGGCAAAGATCATAAATAAATTTCTAAAAAAATTAAATGTTTTCAAAACTGGAAAAAAAACCCAAATATTGTGAATTTCATTTTTGCACCTCACATTGGCAAAGTTCCTTGAAGCAACCTAACCCCCATTTTACACACACCGTCACAAACTGCCCAATGCTTGACGCAATCTGAGGCAAACTTGACTATTTTTTTCTGTCTTGTTTCTTTCCTGGACATTTTTGATGGTTAAAAAAAAAGAAAGAAATCTTGCAAATATGCAAGAACATGAGACAAACTAATATCTTGTTAAAGGATTTCTTAGAATACAGCTTTTGAGAGACGCATATTGGTCTGATGTGTTACATTTCAAAATTTGTCTCTTTCCTGCCCCCAATATGTGGAGTACCCTATTCACAAAATGCCCCATCACCCTTGCAATCACGCACACCGTACTTTTTTCAGAAATAAGCATATTCCTGCATCTCAGAACATGCAACATTAACTAACCTGAAGCCCTTTGACTGTGTGGAATCTAGCTCTTTGTCTGTTGCTGAATCTGAGTTTTCCAGTAATTTTTGAAATCTCTGGATGCCCGTCTGTATACTCCTAGGAAAGGGGATGCTGAAGCAGCTGAAAAGAAAGAAAAAAGCAAAAGATCAAAATTGTAAGAACTGCATGTTGAGGAACGAGTGCAGAATTTGTACGGACTGCCAGGGTTGATCCATTTGCTTCCAGCTGCCGAGAGGATAATTTTACAACATGTGACCTTCCAGATGTGGGTCCTGCACACTCAAGCTACCTGGGCAGTGTGAATGGATGGCTGCGTATCTCCTTGACCTCCCTCTTTCAGCTGGAACTAACCTTGGTGCCCATAGCATCCAGGCTTCCACAGCAAAACACGCACAAGTTAAAACATTTCATTGAGCCTAACGACAGCAATTCAGCAAAAGTTTTGTCAACCAATCCAATAAAACAAGCCGCAGGAAAAAGGAATAAGAATTGGGCACATATATTGGTGTCCTGTCAATTACCTTTTCTAATGCTTAAAGCTTTTTTGGGGGGGGAGTCTTTCCCCCCCCTTGCAGATGCCTGGTGCGATGTCTAATTGTGCTTATGCAGCCCCCTTCTTTCGGGGGGCAGCAAATGGGCATTCAAATCCTCATCAGCCAGCTCTTGCAGGCTTGCAACCCATGATTCCCAGTTAGCATGGAGATTGTAGTCAAAAGAGTAGAAGACGCTTCCCTGTGAAAGGCTGCCTGAAGCCTCCTCCCCTCCCCTCCCAAGTGGTCCTCGCCCCCCCCCCCACGACAAAAGAGTGGGGATTAAGACCACTCGCCCTGGGTGGTGGGCGGGAGCAGGATGTTGGGAACTGTAGTCCTCCAACGCCTTTGCAACGCAGGGGACTCGGTGCATGCGCAGATCATCCTCGCTGAAGCGTTCTGGGATCCTGAAGCCACCTAAGATCATCGGTGCAGGGAGGCAAAGGTGGGGGGGGGAATGGGAAGAGGCAGAAATGCAGCAGGAAGGCTGGACCGGTTGGATTTCCGCCTTCCTCCGCTGGAAAGCGGGAACCCCCAGCCTTTGCAGCCGTAGAAGACGGACCGGCCACCCCACTTTTTTCCCCGGCTTACCCCGAGCCACCCCCCAAGAGCCCCCGCCGGGCGATCGCCAGCGCAGCCTGCATGGCTCCGCCGTCCGGGACCCCAAGGAGGCTTGCAAGGGGAAAGGGGCGGAGCCTCCTCCGCCGCCGGTCAAATCTCGCGATACGCGGCTGGCGAGGAAAGATGGCGGCGCCCAGTCTGTGTGTCTGCTCTCGAGCAGGAAACGTCTTTATCCGTGGGAGATTTAAGCCCGCCCGCCTCCCCCGTTTTTTAAGGCTCTTGTGGCGCTTCCGCGGGGTTAGCTTCGGGGAATTGCCTGCGGGAATGCAAGCCGCTCAAGGAAGCCGTGGGTTTCGGGTTCCCTTGACCGAGCAGGGGGCTGGACTAGAAGACCTCTTGAGGTCCCTTCCAAGTCTCCTCTTCTGCTTTGCTTCTGTTCTGTTCCATTTTCTAGGCCATGCCATGCCATATTCTATTCCATTCCATTCCATTCCATTCCTTCCGTTATATATTCAAGATGGACAGTATTTAATATTTATTTGCTACGTACATGTAGGGTTGTGGGTCTGTACATATGTTGTTCATAGTATGTTTAGGTGTGCGTCATGTATGTGTTTCACTCTGAGAGCGGGCAACTAAATTTCATTTTTGATGCGTGCTGTTGTGCCCACAGTAAAAAAAAATGTCAGTAAAGGTTATCTTATCATTCCATTCCAATTTTCTATTCTATTCCTATTTCTACTCTCTATTAATTCAGCCTGACAGGGGATTGGACTAGATGACCTTCAAGGTCCCTTCCAACTCTTATTGTTATTATTACTACAATTACTACTTCGGGTGGGGGGGAATGTAGATTTTTTGGGGCCTTTGTCTTTCTAATCCCATCAGCTCCAAGCTTTCTGGCTCTAGTCTAGTCTTTCTGAATAGGATGATCAAATCTGTATTTCTAAAAGCTGGTTTCTGCTTGGGGCAGAGAGACTTGAGGGGGGGGGAATGGTTTCTGCCTAAGTTTTTATTATTACTTTGGGGAAGTACAATATTCCGCCTTTTTAATATTCCCCAAAATATTTCTTTCTTGGATGTGTGTGTGTGTGCTGTCTTCCTACACTTTGAATAGTGTTTTTTCTTCTTCTTCTATGGATCTTGGCTGAGCCCAGAGAGCTTGTCTCGGTCTCTCAGGTGCAAACGCTCGGAGGGAGGCGGCATTGAAATGAAGGTCTCTGGAGATGCTCGGTCATCCAGGTCACGGTTGTCCCAAAGGTGCTTTTTTTCCAAGAAACAACTGAACTTTCTTGTTTCTCTTTGAAGACATTTTGCTTCTCATCCAGGAAGCTTCTTCAGCTCTTGACTGCATGCTAACTCCATTCCCCCCACCATCCACTCAGAGCTGAAGAGGCTTCTTGGATGAGAAACGAAAATATCTTCAAAAAAAGTCCAGCTGCCTCCTGAAAAAAAAAACACCTTTGGGACCTATGAAAACGAAGCCAGGCTTCCAGCAAGGCGGCCACAACGAGCCTCTTGTCCAGGGATCTTCCAACTTGGCCTTTTTATGACTTGTGGACTTCAACTCCCAGAATTCCTCAGCCAGGCACGCTGGCTGAGGAATTCTGGGAGTTGAAGTCCACACCTCTTAAAATGGCCGAGGTTGAGAAACACCAGTTTAGCTCTTTCTGAGTTAGCATTATTTTTCCCTTACATTATGTCAGGGGTGTTCAAACTTGACCCTTTTATGACCGGTGGACTTCAACTCCCAGAATGCCTCAGCAGGAATTCTGGGAGTTGAAGTCCACCAGTCATAAAAGGGCCATGTTTGAAGACTCCTGCTCTTCTCCGCACCCCCCCCCTTCGCGGAAGCGCCTCCGAGTTTCGAAGTTTACCGGAAGCGGAAGTTTGCATCCGCCGGCCAGGCGGGCGCCGCGCGGCATTGTGGGCCTTTGGCGGAAAGATGGCTCCCCTCAGCCGGGCGCTGCTCGCCGTCCGTACTTGGAGCCGCTTTTGCGCCGGCCGGCGGGCGCTTTCCGACGGGCCCAGCGCCACCTCGGGATGGAAGCTCTACGGGGCGCTTTGCCTGCAGCGGAGGCCGCTCCTCGCGCAGCTGCCCAGCCCGGAAGAGGAGGAAATGGCCGAGCTGACCCAGCAGGTGGGCGAGGCGTTGCTGGGGCTGAGCGCTGCCCGCGGACGTGGGGAGGGAGGCGGGCTGGGTTGCGAGGCTTCCTTGGAGCCGAGGCCTTGGAGGGGCGGGAGGAAGACCCTCCCTCCTTTTGTTTGGGGAACCGGGCAGCCCCAGTCCTTCCAGAAGCCGTTGGGGTCTCAGCCCTAGAAGGGAATGAATGGGGGAGCCCGGCGATGGGGCTTTGGGGGGGGGGTTCCTGCTGCGGGCATCTGGAGTCCTAGAGATGGGAAGGCCAGGAAAAAAAAACCCTTGAAAAATGGGGAGGTGGGACAGGATTTTTTCCCCGTTTTTTTTTCCCAACGGCTTTGAAAAAAAAACCAACAGAAAAATACTTTATTCCTCTCCCCCCCACAATTTTTTCAGTTTTTTTTCCCGCTCTGTTTCCCCCCTCCCTCCCCCAATTTTTCTGGTTTGTTTTCCAGGCCTTCCCATCTCTTAATTCCTGGACCACCGGCTTCAAGCAAGGGTTCAGTTTGGGGTTTCTTTGGCAGTCTTGACTCCTGGCGACTGTTGGGAGAAACAAGAGAACTCTTGGCGAGATTCCAGAAGGGGCTTTTGCCATTGCCTGCTTCTTAGGCCCGAGAGAAAGGGACTGGCCCAAGGTCACCCAGCTAGATCCAGGCCTCAGTGAGGACTAGCACTCAGTTTGTACCTCCTTACTAGCAGTGATGATGTTACCTAGTTAGGGTAATGAAAGGTCTGCAAGAAAACAAGCAAGCACACCAAACTGGCTCCCAAGGGCTCATTTCATCTAGTGATACCCCCAAATCACCTTTGTGGGTTGAAATCCCCTTGGTCCATCTGGAAGAAGCCCAAGAGTGCAGGATTCCCAGTGCAGAGGCCAAGAAACTGGGGCATCTTAGAGAGCTTTTCCCAGAATATGGACTTGGAGCAGGTTTGGCTCCCAGATCCTATTGTTTCATCATGAATGAAGGCGGATATACATATCCCAGGATAATGTTGCAGGATAATAATTGTTTCATCCTTATTGACTGTCTCATGATGTTTGGGGGAAGGAATTGGGGGAGGTTGATCCCACAGAGGCCAATGTGACTTGAAACCCAATTAGCTGTCATTCTCTGCTGTAAATCGATGTTTCGTAAAGTGTGTTTCAAGAACCCCTGGGAGTCTGTGAAATCAAAATTATTTGTCAGATATTGAAGGCATTTTCAAAAACTTGAAACAATGTCACTATTTTGCCACTCATTATTTTGTATTAGTTAAAAATACAGGCATTTTTCATGAAATGTATTTCATTGTTTATGTAAATACCTAATGGGTTTAATGTTATTTTTACAGGAGTCTGTGAATGTTTCAATTTTAATTTTTGATATGATAAATGTTGATAAATATGATCCATATAAATAGAAGCTCAGGAAAGGGGTCCTGGGAGCAAAAGGTTTAAGAAGCACTGATCTAAACTACAGTAGTATTGTCAACATTGTGTTCCTAAAGCTTTCCATAACTGGAAAGTACAATAATGCCTGTAAACATATCTTTCTCTGAAGAAAGGGCCTTCTAAGTTCTTTGGTAGAGTGACAAGTGAGACTTAAAATATGAAAGCATGAGAACTATTGCTGTGGAGATTCTCAACCTAGATGGACCAATATATAGTGCTAAGCCATAATTTATTTAATTGTGATTTACTGAACTAGGATCACATGACAGGTTGTACCATAAACAAATGTCTGACTTTGGGATGGTCCAGGTTTGTAAATATTACTCTAAGGTGTGTGTACAAGCAAGCTGGAATCTACAACTTGTTTTTCTTTTCAGATAGAGGTAGAGAAAAGCTTGTATTCAGACCATGAACTCAGATGTTTCGCAGAGGATGAGCTTCTGCGTGAAAGGAATAAAGAAAAATACGATATTCCGGAGAAGGTTGTCCTGGTCCAAGATATTGAAGATGCATGGGAACAGAAGTTTCAGAAGTTCAAACCTGCCCCACGGATAACAGGTTCATATCCATGCTTTCCCCCGCTAACTTTGCTGAATATGTTTAGTTATAGCTGAATGTAAATTGGGAGAACTATGTGCTCCAGAAGACCATTGAAGGAGAAATCAGCATTTTTCAAGTCAGGTGCAAATATCACAGTCTTTTTTTTTTTTTAATCATTTTAGAGTACAACATTCCACAAAAACTTAAATTACAGAAAGGCAGATTCTGGTTTGAGAATTCGGTAGAAAGCTTCTTGGGCAATCCAATTTTAAGCAAGTCACTGGATGGGAATTGGGTGTTGAAATTGTCTCCATTACTACTTTCTAAAAAATAACTATAGATGCTGTTGCTATCACCTGAAGTAGGAAAGCATTGTGCAACCAGTTCAGTTTGTAATTACATCTGTCTTCCGTCTCTTGGTCATTTGTTCTTAGTGTAGCTCCTTTGGGCTGTTGAGTAGCTGAATACTTTTAATACTAAATTTCTTTCTGAGCAGAGGCTGACCAAAATGATGACCGGACCTCTTTGAACAGGAAGTTGGACCAGAATTTGATGCTGCTGGTTAAGCAGAAATTTGGAGAGGAAGATATATGGCTGTTGCCCCAGACAGAATGGCAACAAGGAGAGACGTTGCGAAACACAGTAGAACGGGTCTTAGTTACCCTTCCAGGTCAGTGACATATCTATATTCTTTAAAAATTTCTCTTCTTTTCCCTTCTCTTTCTTTATGTACTTTCAGTTTCCACATCTGTGTGTATTTTTAAGTTGTAAGCTTTTTGGGACAGAAAGCTATCCTTTCGTTTTGAAGGATCTTGTATATAGTGCTATCTGAATAATAATACCTCCGTAACTTTAGCAGTAGTTGCTTATTAAACGGTTTTGGATCATGGTGAAAGTTCGCTAACTGCCTGAATGTGTATTTTGTCTGTGAGAAGAAAAACAGATTTGTAAATGTTTGATGAAAAAAGCATTTTAAAAGGTCCCTACTGCAGTAAATCATTGATCTATAATCTCGACGTCGTGTTCTTAAATATATACTGTGTTTCCCCGAAAGCAAGACCTACCCCCCAAATAAACCCTATCTTGATTTTGGGGGGTGGGCCTAATATAAATCATACCCCAAAAATAAGCCCTACTTTGGGACGAGGCACACACCTAAAAATCAAGCTGGGGTGGGGGTTGAGCTGCCCCACGCACCCTGCACCCGCTTACCTGGCAGTCAGGCCTCTCCTTGCCAGTCCACCTCTTCTGCGGTGTCCCCAGGCTTGCATTACACGGTCAGAGGCCTTTCCAGAAGGCCTCTGCAGCCGAGAACCGAGCTATGGATTGAATCCATTACTTGGTTATTGGCTGCAGAGGCCTTCTGGAAAGGCCTTTGACTGCGAAATGCAGGCCGGAGCTCCACTCTCGGCTGTAGAATGAAGCTGCTCCTTTGGCCGCAGAAGAAGTGGACCAGCTAGGGGAGGGGCTGTCGGTGCCAGAGGTGAGTGGAAAATTTGTTATTTGTTATTTGTCTGTTAACCTCTTGAGAACCCAGCTATTGTGCATCATGAGCCATGGTTTATGAAACAACATGATGTGTGAATCCTATTCAGTTGCAGTGTAACCATATTAAATAGCAATAGCACTTAGATTTATATACCGCTTCACAGTGCTTCACAGCCCTCTCTAAGCGGTTTACCGAGCCAGCCTCTTGCCCCCAACAATCCGGGTCCTCATTTTACCGACCTCGGAAGGATGGAAGGCTGAATCAACCTTGAGCCTGTCAGGATGGAACCGCTGGCAGTGGGCAGAGTTTGCAATAGCACTCAGACTTATATACCGCTTCACAGTGCTTCACAGCCCTCTCTAAGCGGTTCACAGAATCAGCATATTGCCCCCAACAATCTGGGTCCTCATTTTACCAACCTCAGAAGGAAGGAAGGAAGAGTCAACCTTGAGCCGGTTAGGACCGAACTGCTGGCAGTGGGCAGAGTCAGCCTGCAATACTGCATTTTAATCACTGCACCACCATGGCAGAATGCCTTAGTACAATAGGAACTGTCAATATTTACAACTAAAGAAGCTTGGATGAGGAGCAAAACATCTTCAAAGAAAAACAAACAAACCAAGAAAGTCCGGTTATCTTTTGGAAAAAATATCTTTGGGACAACCATGGTCTGAATGATTTGAGAACCTCCATAGTCAATATTAAAAAGCATGTTGGAATTGAAGGGAAACGCTTTAAAGAAAGGGGGTTGTGGTAGGGGACAGGGATGAAAATATTGTTTGCTTTCATTGTATTCACCCGGTTGCTGCCTTTGTTTTTTTTCTTACCCATCTTCTGAACCTACCAAGGAATCCGGATGCAGGCCAAGTTCCTAGGAAATGCACCCTGTGGCTTTTACAAGTTCAAGTTCCCCAAGGCCATCCGCAGCGAGACCAACCCTGGAGGAAAAGTGTTCTTTTTCAAAGCCTTCTTGGAGGGCAACCCCCAGCTTTCATCCAAGGAGACAGTGGACTACTTGTGGGTCAGCAAAGGAGAGCTGGGGGACTACTTGAAACCTGCCTATCATTCCCAGGTTTCTCGGTTCTTAGTGGATATCTGAATCCTAAAGCTACTATTCCTCTTCTGTTCAGCATCAGGGTGGAAAGTAATGGGAGTGCCGTCACTTGAGTGGAGGAGACGGCACCACGTGCGCTTTGTATGTGTAGAAGCCACGTTGGGCCCAGGATAATAAGGATAATAAAATAAATGCTAAACAAGCAAGCCAAGAAATGGCAACATCTATGTTTTAAGCTGTCTGGTGTCTTCCTTTCTGCACAGTGCAAACAGCGGCCCACAGCTGGTAAGACTGCAGATTAAAGCTAGGCCAGGGGTCAGCAACCTTGGCTTTTTTATGACTCGTGGACTTCAACTCCCAGAATTCCTGAGTCAGCCATGCTGAGGGGAGAGGCAGAGGTTCCAAGCTGAGCCATACTGGCTCAGGAATTCTGGGAGTTGAAGTCCACGAGTCATAAAAGAGCCGAGATTGCCTACCCCTGCCCTAAAGGGTACCTCAAATTGTAAGCTTTGGGTATGCTCTCCTATTGTTTCTATGCTGACTCAGGAATTCTGGGAGTCAAGAGGACAGGCTATGCCATGAGGCAGGTGGATTGGAACAATCTAGCAGATGGAGAGATGGAATGGGCAGTGTGCCCTCTTCCTCCATAATTTGCTGGATTTAATGGTAGGCCACCTGTTTTCAATCGAGAGGGGCATCGTTTGATTTATGCACCATCCTGGAGCTGATCATGGCCTTTGGAGCATTCCCTCCGTAAATGAGTAACGAAAGAAACTTTTGCTGCATTCACACATCCCTGTCAGCTGAACCAAGCTCTCAGTTCTCGTTGGATTTGCAAGTGAATCTGAATCACAAACTATAGTACTTGATCAAATGATACACATTCAGGGTGTTTTATGTTATTTTGTCCCCCCCCCCAATCATCCTCCTGTGTTTGCCAGGTTGTTTGCGGATGGGGACTTCTGGAAAGTGTTGCTACCACAATGGAGTAGCATACAGTGTGGGCTTGCATAAGTCGAGCTGTGTGGCCATTGGAAGGGAGAGATCTCACTCCCTTTCCTAATATGCCATTGTGCCAAGGGAAGGGCGTGCGTGCCTGTCACAGTCTCCCCTGGTGCGTTGCAGACTATGGAGGGAAAAAGTCCAAATATAAGGCATCCACTTGGTTGAGCACAAGGCAAATTTGAGATTGAGTTTTGTTCTTTACAAGGAAGCAGGGTATGTTTTCGGTAGAAACTCAGGTGCTCTTTAGCTGGCAAATGAGAACTGATTAGTGGATGCATTTTTGGTCTGATTGGTCTCCTTATTAAGGAGCAATCTCTGGTAGGTTTGCCAACTGTTTCCAAACCTTGTAGACTTGCAAAGAAATCACTTCAACAACATCCTTGTTACCTGAAAGAGTCGCCTGTTTAGTTCCTACTAAGAGCTGTGGTGGCACAGTAGTTAGAATGCAGTATTGTGAGCTAATTCTGCCCACTGCCAGCAGTTCGATCCTTGATTCAGCTTTCCATCCTTCTGAGGTTGGTAAAATGAGGACCCAGATTGTTGGGAGCAACATGCTGACTCTGTAAACAGTTTAGAGAGGGGCTGCAAAGCACTAGGAAGCGGTATATAAGTCTCAGTGCTATTGCTTTTTCTTTTTTCTTTAAAAAAAAACCCCACCATAGTTAAAAGATCTGGTCTTGAGATAGATAGAAGATATCATCTGGAACTGCAGAGGGAGACATGGCCAATTTTATTTGTGCGACCAAGGTTGTCTAGAGTACTGTTGTAATAATATCGAAACTCCAGGCTTATTGCTTCCTCTGGACAGTGGTGCAGAACAGAACATGATGAGTCTCCTAAAATGGATTCAAAGCAGAAGATGTTTATTCATAGTGGAATAGTATAGTTTGGGATCTCCTTTAATCATGAAACAACATCTTGTCTTCCTCCAGTAGTCTTTGGCCCCCTATAAATCAAATAAATTACCTTTTAGTGTCAGCTTCATCTCAGATTTGCAAGCAATAGGAAACAAAACAAACTCCCAGCTCTTAAAATAGGATGTTTGTAATCAGCACAGACATTTTTTGTCCTTTTTTTTTTTTGGCAGTAACGTGTGCACACACATACAAATAAAAAGGTCCACGATTCAATTACTTAAGTACCATTGCAGGGACTCCAAAAATAATGGAGTAATTGGCAGAGACATTAGATCATCCACTTGGGAGTTTGTCTTGCTAGTGCTCCCAGATTTTAAAAGAAGAAAAGGGGAAGAAGAAAAAAAAACACCCTTTAACCCATCCCCCCCATGCTGCAAGCTATCTAAAGTGCAGCATGTCAGCTTTTTATTTTGTAAAAACCAGCCTGCTGTTGCCAAGCTGTAGGGTTGCAATAAATAAAATAGACTTCTACAGCCTGCCGGAGCCCAGCCTTCCTGTGTTCTGAAAACACCCCGGGAGATTCCTTAGGGAACTCTGCTCAGCTGCTGAGAGTTGGACAGGCAGAGCAATTGCAGACTGTGGAGGAAAAATAAAAAGAGGTAAGGATGGATTTGAGCCAAAGAACTATAAATTAGTTTCCCAAGGTCTGCTATAACTAAAGCCTCTCCTGATGGGTGGGTGAGGAGAAGGAGGTTAAAAGCAGCAGTTAAGGGCAGGACGTGACACAAGTTTGTTTGTGTGCGTCCCCCCTGGCTTGGTTTGAGCCCTGATACAGTTGAGTGTGAAGCCTCTGGAGTGATACCAGATTTGGAGAGGGGTGAACAATGACTGTTGAGGCTTGACTAACTTGTGCCCCTTTTCCACTAGCTCAAAGTCACCCTGCCTGCTTTCATGTCTACAGTGGTAGAACTCTGTCTGTGTGTCTGTCTTTCTATATTTCTATCTCTATCTAGAGAAGGATGATTAGGGCAGAGGTCCCCAACCTTTTGGGCACCAGGGACCGGTTCCGTGGAGAGAGGTTTTTCCACGGACTGGAGGGTGCGTGGTTTTGTGTGCTGCCTGCATCCCATGGATGGGCCTTTGCTTGTTTGTGCGGCCCGATTGCTGGCATGCTGTGGCCCGGTACTGGTCCACGGACCAGGGGTTGGGGACCCCTGGATTAGGGGACTGGAGGCTAAAACATATGAGGAACGGCTGCTGGAATTGGGTATGTCTAGTTTAGTGAAGAGAAGGATGAGGGGGGACAGGATAGCAGTCTTCCAATATCTCAGGGGCTGCCCCAAAGAAGAGGGAGTCAAGCTATTCTCCAAAGTGCCTGAAGGCAGGACAAGAAGCAACGGATGGAAACTAATCAAGGAGAAAAGCAACCTGAAACTAAGGAGAAACTTCCTGACAGTGAGAACAATTAACCAGTGGAACAACCTGCCTCCAGAAGCGGTGAATGCTCCAACACTGGAAGTTTTTAAGAAGAACCTGGACAGCCATTTGTCCGAAATGGTGTAGGGTTTCCTGCCTGAGCAGGGGGTTGGTCTAGATGACCTTCCAACTATTATTATTATTATTGTTGTTGTTGTTGTTGTTGTTGTTGTTGTAGTCTCACCATAGGTATGAAAGTAGTCTGGGGAACCATACATAGACACTTTTGCCTCTCTGTGTTCAGGATTATGTATGTCTAATATCCAAATTTTCGATATTCAGCTGCCCGCAAAGCTTTATCTTCTTTTTCAAAGATGTCGGCCTTTTCTCTGGCTTTCCAAGATGAATTTTAGCCAGATCTCTTGCATTCCCCCCCCCTTGCCTCATCTACTTATAAAAAGCAGGGCTTATTCAAATCAAGCCCCATCTGTTATGTTTGCTTTACTGCACTCTTGCAGGATTGAGGAAAGTGGGGGAGAGAGTTAGTTATCTTGGCAGCCTTCTCCACATTTAAAATACACCGAGACTCTTTAAATAATAATAAAAAAAGTTTGGGTTGTAAATTCTTCCCTATCGGAAGCCTGCAGGCTTTTGGATGAGATATTTTTTTCCCCTTTCTTTCTTTTGCTGACCATTTCTGAGAATTGGGGCTTGTTTCCTTTCCTTTCTATAGTTGGCATCCGCGCTCAGAAAGGGGCCAGCGATGGAAAAAGGAATTCCATTCACGGGGGCCAGATGGCGCAGCCGTTCAAGGCAGGGATGCTCAAAAGCTTTCAAGCATCTCTTTCCCAGATTAAATATGCCTAATGAGGAATACCGGGTTGGCTGCCAAGGAACGCTTGCATAGTGAAAAGGATTGTGAGAAGTGTGTCACATTCCGTTCTGTTTCTGGAAAGCTTGGTCTAGGTGGTTTGACCTTCAATTATCCATGGGAACATTAGCCTTTCCCAAATTTGATGCCCTCCAGACACAATAACTCTTAGAATTCCCCATTCAGGATTAATGCCTCTCTGTCTGTCTGTCTGTCCGTCGGTCCATCCGTCCGTCTGTCCGTCCATCCGTCGGTCATTGGTCGGTCCGTCTGTCCGTCCATCCATCCATCATCTCTCTCTCTCTCTCCCCTCTCTCCCTCTCTCCCTTCCTCCCTCCCTCCCTCTCCTCCTCCTCCTCCTCCTCTTCCTCTTCTTCTTCTTCTTCTCCTCCTCCTCCTCCTCCTCCTCCTCCTCCTCCTCCTCCTTCTTCTTCTTCTTCTTCTTCCTCTCTCTCTCTCTCTCTCTCTCTCTCTCTCTCCCCCCCCCCCTTGGAATTGATCCCTCTGGTTCTAATGTTAGTAATTTGGTCTTATATTGTCTAGGGGATGGCTCCTCCTATATTACTTCTCAGGTTTCTAAATTTCTTTTAAGAGCTGTAACTATTAGAAGAGAACGTTGTTGTAATTCCCTTTAGCCAAGGCTTCTGGTGTTAACTGTTTGTGATTGTATTTTTCTTGTGTTTTCTTTTGTTGCACTTGCGTTTTGGTCTGTGACTGTAAAATAAAAATTATTATTATAAATGCTGATCCTGGATTGGTGGACAGTGGAAACCTGGGGAAGGAAAAAGAGGCTTTTACTATGCTGTGCTTTGCGCCAAAACCTCAGAAATGGCTTCGCTTCTGTGCCTGTATGGATCTGTCAGTAAAGTTTTACTCTTGGTAATAAAAACGTCCCAGGAGTTTTATTTCACTGTGCATGCCAACGGGATGGTTGACAGCTTGTCTGCCAATTCTGACTACTAAAGTTTACCCAGGGAGCTGGACTCTTTATTGGACAGTGACAGATTTTGACACTCAGTGGGAGAAATGCTGAGAAGTCATTGGCAAGAGCCATATCTGTCTTCTTCTTTTTTTTACA